ACCAAAGGATACTTCAAAGGCTGAGTATACAGTAATTGATTACACATCTCCCCTTCAAGACATCATTTGAGAGATAAGCAGGACTAGGAGCTACAGAATTATTCATAAAAGGAACCCTAAAATCTTTAAAAATCCCATGTAATGACAAAGATTCTCCCTTCTCATTGCATATCCATGGAGTTTATACTGTTCCCATCAACAACCTTAGAGTAATGATTTACATTATGTTGGATTGGAGACCCATGAGATCTCTATGTAAGATTGAAAGAACACCAAGAGTTTACATCCAGCCATAGCCTTGGCAGCTTATGTCCTCTCAGATTTCAATTCTGTCAATTTCGACTGGGACCAATCCAAAAATCATACAAAATGTTTGGATCCAATACTGCATTTGATACACAGAAGTGTTACGTATTTTCAAATCAGTTCATCTCACAGGCAATCAACTGCAAGGATATCAACCTTCCTGTCTACAGCATGTCTATATTTTGTTGTATGTATGTATGTATTGTTACAAACAAAAGTACAGTGGTATCTTGGTATACGTCTGCTTTAGAATACATCAAATTTGGAATACATCCTGTTTGGACGAAACAAATTTTGCTCGGTATATGACTTAATTCAATTATACACGCCATCTATGAAGAAGTAGCACTATCGGTGTACTAGACCAGACTAGACGTTCGTGATGTCACAGTTTATAACTTTGTTAAATTTCTTCTGATTTTAATTTGTAAGTAAAATTTTATTATTTTTTAATCATGAATTGCAAAAAGGCAAATGAAAAGCAACAGAAAACTAAAAAATGACTAGAATCACAATGGAACTGAAAAAAGAGATTGTTGAAATATGAAGGTGGCATGCGTGTTCGAGATTTTAACTGTTGCATACCATATTCCGATAACGACGATATCGACAATCGTGAAAAATAAAGACATTATTAAATTTGCTAACGTTGCTTAAATCAATTTCTAAACAGAGATCAAAGACATTCGATCATGTTGAGAAATTGCTTTTGCTTTGGATAACTGAAAAACAGTGTGCTAGACACATCATATCAGAAGCAATTATTTGCGAGAAAGCTAAAAAGATACATGCTGATCTCATGAAAAATCAAGCAGGAACTAGCCAGGAAAGCAAGGTGTTTAAAGATGAGAACAGATTAATAATTTTTGCATTACTTCTTATGGGAAAGATTGGTTTGGTATAAGTCCAAACATCAGGACCGGATTAAGGTCTTATACCAAGGTTCCACTGTATAGAAAAATAAATATACTGATGAATATAAGATCAGTGCCTCTACAGACATTAGCAGTAGCCATAGGTTACATGGGGTTTAACTCAAAGTTTTCCATGTCTATATATGTTGCAGTCAAACCAGTTTTTAGTTAGAACACGTTTTAACAAGTTGAAACTAGTTTTTACTGGATGTCTTTGTTAAAACCAGTTTTGTCTAGTTAAAACTAGTTTTAACTCAAATTCATTTTTGACTAGCAGTAAATTCTAGTTTTAACTACACAAAACTGGTTTGTCTAATTACTGTACATGTTTTGATTTTAGTTAAAACTAATTTTAGCTACATAAATATGTTTGGGGGAAATAAATAAAGTTTTGTATAGTGATTCGGGGGAAGATGCCTAACATTTTGCTTATGAAGGAAATTATAGCGCTTATTTGGGTTTTCGAGCCCTCTAATGAAAATATCATATTCTGGAGTATGTTTTTCAAATAAAACTTTGGAATTTATTAAAAAGAAATTGTATATTGTGTTTGCAATGATGACTTTTTCACTGTCTGGCATTTTAGGCATCTCACCCCAAGTATCCGGGTGAGATGCCAAATGCCATTAGGGTAAGATAACAAATATAATTGCATAAAATTAATTTTTGAATTTCTTAACCAAATTTAATTTATCGCATATGTAGTACAAAGTACTTCATAGCAAGTATAACAGCACAGTATAAGTATTGTTAAGTTTCCGCCCGTTCTAACGTGTTCTATAGCTAGCTGAAAGCTTTTTTCAGTCCAAAAACTTTTTTGAGAAGTCCTTATATAATTTCTATGCATATCCTGCAATAAAACGAGAAAACAAAAGTTTATTAAAAATAGGCATATTGGAAATCAATTAACAAAAAATAGGCACGTTACCCCAAGAAAAATGTGGCATATTTTCCATTTGTTGGGGTAAGATGCCTAGTAGAGTCACATGCTCCAGCATGTCCGATCGGGATCGGCGGTAGCTGACAATGGAAACTTTAGAACCTTAACTACATCACACATTAATTGTTTTTAGCAATTTTTAATAAATTCCATTTTAACTTTTAGTTTAAAATTATTCTAGAAACATTTCACAACAAAAACTTCGTTCTTATCTAGCTTTTATTCTTCTCGGATGTAGAAAATGAAGTAACGGTAGCCAACTACAGCTTTCCGCACTCAATATTGGCCCAACGATTCATCATACAAATACATGACAATATGTGACGTCACCGTTTGAAAATATCAAAAATTAGGCATCTTCCCCCGCTTACCATCTTACCCCAAATCACTCTATATGTTGCAGTCAAAACCAGTTTTTAGTTAGGATGCGTTTTAACAAGTTACCCTTTATACTGGATGTCTTTGATAAAACCCATTTTGTCTAGTTAAAACTAGAATTTACTATTAGTCAAAAATGAATTTTAGTTAAAACGGGTTTTATCAAAGACATCCAGTATAAACTAGTTTTAACTAGTTAAAACGCATTCTAACTAAAAATGGGTTTTGACTGCAACATATATATGTATATCCTTTGTTATATATTTTACTTTGCATTTTGATTTATGTATTTTTTATTTTTAATTGTCCAGTTTTCTACATTTGAATTGTATGTATTCCAGAATGTCATTTGAATAACTGCTGTGTTTGTTCTTTGTGATGTAATTAAAAACAAAGATTATCCAACTAAGTATTAAATGAATTTTCAAATATCTTTTATAAAATGTTAATATAATATGAATTATACTGAAATAAACATACGCATTCCAATTTTTTGAAACAAATAATTTGTTCTAATTTTTTAATTTCTTAAAATGAATATTTAAAAACTGCTCAGTATTTTTGTATAGTTTTTTTAATTAATTACAGTCAAACAACAGGTTAATTAGATACATAAATTATTAGACGATATGATTTAAAATTTTATAAATTTAATTTTGAAAATTAGGAAAGACTGGAATTGAGATTATGACAATTTTTTGACACAATTATATTATTCAAACTGTAATTTTGAAAACTGAATCATGTATTTTAAGTTTTAGTTATTGTTGTCTCTTAGATTAGTATTATAACTTAGCTGTCAAGAGAATAATAAAGTTTTTTTTAGCAATTGAATTTTAAATGAGTAAATTATACTTATTTCTGAATAAAGTATGAGTTAAGCAGGTGCAGCATTAGGAGGTAAGCAAGATAAGCATCACATCTGATGTCTTAACAAATAAAATTGTAAAATTAATGTTTTTCATTTCTACATGTTTATTTTTAAAGGAGTTGAAATTATTTTTATACCTATTTTCTATATACAGAAATATTAACTATTGAATAAATGTTTTATTGATTTTGAATTGGTGACTGCACTTACATTGCAGTGACATCTTCAACCTTGTTTAGTTTATGCTTGATGATGGAATTTCCCTTAAGTTGCATTTTTAAATATTTTGGCAAATGGCATATTTTTATCTTTTCTTAAAGATAAAAATTTGTTACAGAAGTGACATGATGTGGCTTTTTTTTTTAAACTCTCCATAGTGACCACATGACAGTCTATTATCCAATAGGAAGTAACAATCTAACAAACCCATTAGCTTCAATCTCTACTTTCCCATAAAAAGTATTCTGTCATGCTTGATGGGAGAATTTCTAGTTATAAATTAATAACAACTTTAAATTAAATTATTATTTTACAGACTTCCAAGTAAACTTCCAAACTATGCATTCTGGATTGTCATTCATCCAGAAACGAGAGATGGGCAGGGCTGCGTATTTAGATTTAGCATATGTTATTTCTGTTGATTTTGTATCTTCATTCCTTGTTATACAGTAGAACCTCGAAAACTCGGCCTAATGTGGACCGAAGGGTGGCCGAGTTTGTGAAAATGCCGGGTTATCGGAAATGGGGTTAAAAAAATAAGTGCGAGTGTTTCCTCAGAAAACACTGTACTGTACTTGTATGTATTGTTTACTTGAAAATATAACAGAGAATAAACTGCCCAAATACCCTTAAACAGAGGAAAAGTACATCCTTTATGAAGGCATAGAGCCTTTACTACATGAAAATGAAAATTAATGAATACACTGTGTACAGTGATTTACCTGATAAGACAGACCCCAGAAAAATACTTTATGAGAGCTTTTATACTTTTATAAAGCTGTCTATAATGAAAATTAATTAACTAAGGATTTTTTTGCCCTGCCAGGGTGTGGCCGAGTTATCCGGAGTGCCGGGTTATCGAGAGCCGAGTTTTCGAGGTTCTACTGTATTAAAATCCCATAAATTTCATTCATTTGAAATAAGTGACATTTCACATTTATTGTTATAAATGATGTCCTTGTCTCAATTCCTATGTGATTTATTTATTAAATAAATCATAGCTAAAGACATATGTTTCAATTCATATCTTTAGCTTTATGATGGACTTAATTTGTTAATAAGCACATTTGCTTTCTGTAATTGGTATAAAGGTATAAACTAAACATTGTTCTAAACCAAATTCATAAACTCCAGTCCTCATTGAATTTTTGAACACTACTTGGAGACTCATGATTCAATTTCCAAGTTGTGACAATAAAAATTTGAAATTCTGTTAAACTTCCAAGAAAAGAATCAATAATTTACAGACCTAATAAGCTCTAAGTTATTGATTAGAATTTTCTGTATTCAATTTGTTTGTATATATATCCTAAGCTTCTTGTAACTGTTTTGATGTATGCCTTTTTGATTCAGTTAATAATTTACAAAAATATTCTACAAATAAAACTAGTTTATTTACAATGAAATCATATAAATACATGCTAATGATTATTACAGTTTGTACTTGACTTCTCTACTTACTTTTTTTTATTGTTGGCTTTGATGCACTTATAAAACTGGAATTATAATAGATGGAAAGAGATCAAAATATCACTTACATTCAAAATAGCATTTTGATTAATGCCAACTGCTTTTGACTATATACAACCCATTTGGAAAGATTTTTTCCCCTATTTAATGCTCTGTGTGACAAATATCTAATATAGTTATACCGTATATACAGCTTAAAAGAATACACTGTGTCATTAATTGTTCAAGCATAGAAACAGCAAGATTAAAATGGCTGTTAAGATAATGCTAAATGCTGTTTGGCTGGATTTATTTATTAGTATGCCTCTCTCGTCGAGATTTATTCTTCCAGACAGGAAGAAAGATTGATTATTAGGCATACCAACAGAGGAAGGATACAGTGCAATCACATCCTTCATGGCCTGTCTTGCTGCCTGACTGAAACTGCTGTCACCAGTTGTTAACAAATCAAAAATACAGGCATCAAAATAAAAGTCTGTTACATTAAACTCTCTACACATTTTGGCTGCCTGTTGGACGGTTATTGTGGCTTTACCGTTTTTTGTCACTATTGGAATCCACTGGTTAGGAAGAGAAAACAGACGACTGTAATCTATTCTTTCTTGTTTTGGACATCCTTTAGCACACAATTCGAAGGAATCACTTCTTCCATTCTGGATGGCAACTTCTTGAGGAATACGAATAGCAAAAGTAAGATAATGTCCTATCTGATGCAAAACTATTCGAGTAGATATATGTCTTATGTATATTTCCACATGACGTCCTGGTACTTCTTCTTTAATTCTGACATTTTTATCTGGCCCACTGCTTTTTGTACCATCAACAAATACACTGGGCAGGAAGTCAGTCTGAGCTACATATGTTTTCTCAGGAGTACAAGGAGAATGCTCTCTAATGATGATGGTTACCTAATAAAAAAAATTAATAAATATTAAAATTTTTATTGTAATAGCTTGGTTTTCATGTATTTTGTGATTTGATATTTACAATCATTTTTCACATTCACAAAAAATAATGAAACAGATAAAATTACAATAAGTATTGAACTATTTTATTTGTCAATATGTTTAGGGCAATTTGTGTTGTCAATTGTTAGTACTACTTATGTGGTTTATCTTATAGTTTCTCATATTTTTATAGCAAGTACAGTTGTATAAAACACAATATTTATTATACGCACAAGATTTTCAAAAAGTCGTGCAACCATGGGAAAACAGGTTATTCATTCAATGCTTATTCTCTATTTCAAGTTACAATGGTTTTTACACTAGAAGAACACACCTTCATTTTGGGACAGTACATCCATAGTCATGGTAATGTACAGACAAGTATTAATAAAAACTGCTCTGAACAAGTCCCCATAAAACATCTGTACAATAAATTCAAATTAATTGGTAGTGTTAAGGACACAGAGGTCTGGTAGAACAGGTGACTGATACTGAGACATTCCTGGAAATCTAAAGTAATTGTCTGATTACAGTAGCATATCTACCAGGAGTGCTAATAAAGCACTGAAATGCAAATTGCACCTGCACTACTACAAAATTAATGATGTCAATGAATTGCAATCAAGAGATCCTTAGTAATGTTTAGCATATCACTGGTTTTTGGAATTGATAACACTACACAGAGGAATTGCATAACTAATACTGGATAGACCAAGCTTGGTTCTTCCTTGATGGGTATGTTATCTTTGCATACAACACATAGAAAATCTGTCCCATCAACAACTATTCATCACATTCTATAATAAAACAATAAATAGTGAATATTACTTTAGATGGTGCAACAGTTTGTGGCCACTCAGAAGAGAAATTACAGAACACATGTTCCAAGATTGTATGATATCCTAAAATATACTTATGGCCCTAGATAACCTGATTTGAATCTCCCTAATATTTTTGTGGGGTTACTATGCATACAACAATGATCCAACTTCAGGCCAATATTCAAATCTTTGCAAATGACATATCTGTAGAGACCTTGCAGAAAGTTTTCTGCAACATGATCAAATGCATTTAGTTCAGTGAAGATCAAGACAATGGTAGTTTTCAGTATCTAATTCAGAAATAAACAATTACCCATGCATTGCCTGAGTTTTGAAGACCTTACATTATCCCAAGTTAGTTTTCTAATGTATTCTAATTCTAAGGGGATTTAGAAATTCTTAGAATCAGTAATTTGGCTTCACCATAACTTATTTTTTTTTATCACACTATTGATCCATGAACTGCTATCAGCCATGACTGTGATAGCAAGTTGCTTTGGCAATTTGGTGAATAGAAAAAGGTTTGACATTTTTTTGAACTTGTTTACAAGCACCAAATTTTAAAATCTGGTAACCCTTATTTGGTGTAGTGTTTATAGACAGATTTTTAGTTTTATTAGTTAGTGAAAAGAAAAGAAAAAAAAATGTCTTGCTGCCTGACTGAAACTGCTGTTACCAGTTGTTAACAAATCAAAAATGCAGGCATCAAAATAAAAGTCTGTTACATTAAACTCACTACACATTTTGGCTGCCTGCTGGATGGTTATTGTGATTTTACTGTTCTCTTTCACTATTGGAATCCACTGGTTAGGTAGAGAAAACAGACAACTGTAATCTATTCTTTCTTGTTTTGGACATCTTAATATGTCATCTAACAAGAAGGCTAGCAATTTAACTTTGTCTTCAAGGGACATTATCCTTCCTGCAAATAATCTGAGTTATGGGAGTTATGAAAATTGTATGAACTTTCATGGTATACGAATTACCACAAGAAACAGAAATTAAAAATAAAAACATTTACAAATAGAAAAATTGTGTGTATTTTCTAATCATATATTTTTTCAGTCCAATAACCTTAATTTTCTAATATATTTCTCTTTTCCATATTTACAACAATTTTTCAGAATATAATAACTGGAAATATGGAGTTTCTACTTTAATTTGATACCTAATGATATTAATACTTGCTTTATTTTTTAAATGCAAAATTTTTTAATAGTTGATTATTTAAGAGTTAATATTTCAGATTAAACATTTTCAGCCTAGAACATATCCATATTTTAAATTAAGTTTCCTAAAGATAGCTACATGTTATATTTATAATTTAGTGCCTGTAATATAATTTACTGATAATTGTAATACACTATGATAAAAACATCATAACAAATATGAATTATATAGCATATAACTTACATTTGTTGTTTAATTATTATGCATAATAATCTAAACATTTTTGTATTACAGTACTTCTGCACTTTTATTGTAAATGTTTCAGTCTTCCAGGACAGTTTTGTATTACAGTTCTCAAACTAAAATAATCAATCAGTCTATTCTCTTTTCAAATCTCTTAATTCACTAATTATATAATGCTGGCAAACTGTATTTCTTACAGTGAGAGCAAAGTTAGAGATGTATTAACAGCTTACAGACAGTTAAGTGTAGAAGCATTGTAGTCTTTCTTCTGACCATAAATATTTTTATACTTGCAAGAACATTAAGGAACATTTCTCAGTTATGAAGTGTCAGATTTATTACTTAAACAAGCTCTAAATCTCTTTGGTTCCTATACAACCTAAATCAAAATAATATAATACCCTTCATTATATATAGCTTTCTTCCATCTAATCACCAACTTCCCAATTTGTTGAAGAAGTGAAGCTTTGCCTTTTCTGAGACTGTAAGGAACCAAGTCCGAGTGTTATTTTTAGTTACTTTTTATTTTGCTTTTTATTCTATTTTTGTTTGGGGCTTATGTTTTGTTTGGACGAAGGTTTCCTCACCACTCACCTTAGAAACTTAAAACAGAAGAAAGAAAAAAAACCAACTCACCAACAAGAAGAAGCGCCATAGGAAAAAAACTCACGCACACTTGTGCTCCTGAGCGGAAAAAAGTAAGTCCGCACCGAGAAGAGGGGGGAGACCCCACAAGCACAACTCAGGAACTTGCTAAACCTTAGAGTAAAACATCCCACTAAACATAGAGTAAAATATTGTCAGAAAGAATAATGTAAAGTGTTAGAGAGTATTGTTGGGAAATAGGCTGCCAGGCAAAAAGGAAAAGTTCAATGTTAGAGATAAGTATGTAAATGAGGGGAGTGGTCTTGGTCAGAATTGTGATGTCACCTCATAGTATAAAGATCGTACCTCAAGCAAAGATGAACGAGGTGAGCTTCTGTTACCAATGAGCGTGGTGAGCTTTGTAGCAGCGAATAAGAGAGGCATCCGATAGCGATAAAGTTGTTCCAAGGCGTTTTGAAGTTATTCGATTTGTGGATCGAAGATTGGAGAGTCTTGAGAGTTGAGGAAAAAGGTTCCTGGCATACTGAGGTGACGGTTAGGACCTTAGTTCATAAGACTTGTTGTACATAGGTTAAGTCTTTGAATTTTTTGTCGAGTTCCAAAGGGAATAGATTTAAGCTAGCAAGTAGATTGATTTGAGTTTTGTCGGGTTAATTATTATTGTTGATTTTCTTTGAATAAATTGTTGTTTGATTGTTACTAATTCTGTACATAGTCATTATTAGAATTATTATTAAATATTGGATTGCTTTTTGACTAACTTTGTCATTGTTTCTTGTGGTGCACGCTTAAAGTTCAGGCCTGGCACATTAATCGCGAATCCGCATAAAGTACCCATTAGGTAACGGCTATTTCCGGCACACAGTTCGTGTCGATAATTGTTGTAAAAGGCATAAAAATAACTTAGTACTTAACAAGACTCTGAAAACACTTGCATGAAATTGGCAAACTACTGTATTTCATAAAAGCATTTCAAAATCACTGTCATTTTGCTAATGTTTACATGCTAAAATTATTATTGATATGAGATATTTTTGAAGTTGACATCTTCAGATTGAAATTTTGCAAACCATTGACAACACTTATGAAAATACCCCAAGTGAATGGAAATGTTCTTGATGTCCTTTTTAGTCTGAGCTGCATTCAATCCTTTATGAAAATCATAAAATGAAATAACCACACACCACCTCTTGTCTACACATGTATGGTGGAAATCACTTAATTGGAAGGTGCACTGAGAAATGGACATTTCATAGTTGACATCCCAATATAAGTAGTAGTATTCTCTAAATTTAAACCTGAACAAATTTGTCAGGAAATTTTTAAAATACAGTGGAACCCCGGTTAACGATCAAATCGGTTAATGAACTTTTATTTTGCAAAAATTTTCTCTCAGATAACGAATGTAACGGTATTTTGTGTCAAATTTTAGTTGGTGTTAAGCATGCACGAGTTAAGCATTGCTTTTCTGAGTGTTTGTGCTATACTTCTTTTTTCAGTTTTGTGATTTATATATTTAGTCAATATGGCATCAAAGAATGAAAAAAGTCATAGTGGCAATAGAAAACAACAACGCAATATAAACAACAATGCGCTATCGCATTTGAGAAAGATTTTGCTTAAAAGAGTAAGACAATCAACTTTAAATCAATTTCTTGTTCCTTATGGAAAGAGTTTGTTTCTTTTTTAAGTTATGGCAACGCGATCTTGGGCGATCTGACTAGGGGGAATGCCTTCTGGGAGGTGTNGCGCTATCGCATTTGAGAAAGATTTTGCTTAAAAGAGTAAGACAATCAACTTTAAATCAATTTCTTGTTCCTTATGGAAAGAGTTTGTTTCTTTTTTAAGTTATGGCAACGCGATCTTGGGCGATCTGACTAGGGGGAATGCCTTCTGGGAGGTGTTTTTAAGGGAAACTGGCCCCTATTTAGGTGTTACAGACGTGGAGAAATCCCGGAAAACTCCACATGGCCAGCCTGTCTGAGCGAAGTGTGAACCACGAACGAACTCCCCTCCCCATGTTCAAGGTACGAAGACCACTTAGCCACTGGTGGGTTTTTTTACCGAAAGAGACTTCAACTCGAAGAATCTTCCGATGTGTTACCCGTTACTTTTTTAGAGGGGATTCCTCTTCTAAGCATTAAGGTTCGTATATTGCCACTTTTCTGCCACCAACTACAACAAACGATGGTATGTACAGTGCTATTTTATTAAACAAAGTTTACATGTTTGTTGCTGTAATGATAGATACTATATTCTATCATTCCTACATTTTCATCAAAGAAAATTACTGTATATTACAAACAAAATGACAAAAATTTCGGAGACTAGAACGGATTAATTGCATTTGCATTAATTTCTATGGGAAAAATTGTTTCAGTTAACAAACGGAGTCGTGGAACGGATTAAGTTCGTTAACCGGGGTTCCACTGTATTTGCAATTTGTAAATTTTAAATAAAAAATTATTGTAAAAAAACAAAGTGGATTTGAAATGAAAAGCAGCATGATCCCTCATCAGTTACAATTTGTTAGGAGTGGTACCATAGAGAATTTTAAACAAATTGCTGTTTGCTTCCTGTCTTAAAAAGAAAATACACTATTGTACAAACATACTTGAAATTACCAGTGTGGTTCAATAAAAAGGGTTTTAGCGCTAATTATTTTAAATTGTTATTAATTCTGTACCTAGACAAAGAATAATTCTTGCTTACAAATTTCTAGCAACCAAAAATGAAACTATGTTATATATCTAAAATTATTAAAATATGAACAATTAAAATAAAATTAACTATAATAAACATAAAAATTCTGGATTAAACATTCAAAATTGAAAGAAAAAGACATTTTGAAGCTTCAAACTCCAATAATGAATTATAGAGTATTCTAACAACAAGGCATTAATCAATATAAACAAAAAACTCACACAAGGTTAGCGAGTTATTTATAATAAAGAATTACAAAATATTTTCATCTGTTATCAATATTGTTAATAATTGATCTTCCAAGTACATAAATTTAATAACTAAGACAGATAACAATAAAAACAGTGAATTTAGAGAAATTTAGCAGTTTAAATTTTTTCACTTACTCTTTCAAACATTTCAACTGAAAATAAGTTGTATTATATAATTTATATACATCATGATAAAATAAAATTTTCAAATGCTTTCCGGTTAATTAAAATCTTAACTATTATAATATATTACCTTGCTTGTTGCAGTAGCAGCACCATCTTTAACAACAGCACTATTTGTTACTTGAACAGCAAGATAGGAATTATCAATAAGAGGCCATGCTCCTAATACTCTACATGTCTGAAATTCATTGTGAAATGTCCTAAGATGTGGATCTCCAAATAGTCCACAGTGACTATAAACAATGTTGTTTTGGAAACGTCCTTTATATGTACACTGAGTAGCAAAAGTAGGTCTTGGTTTAACTCGGCCATTATAAAATGGAGGATATTCGGGTCGTCCATGAGCAATAATATAAGAACAATTAAAATCATTACTCCACTGCATCACTAAAGATAAAATAGAGTGATATTCCAGGTTACCACGGCAACTACGTGCCGTGGCCCTGATGCACTCTGAATAGCTTCTCAGTACTGTGCAATACTGATAACTTGGACCACGAGTTATATGTTCTGAAGCAGTAGCTCTAGCATACTCTCTAGAACACACTTCCACTTGGCATGAAGATGAAACTGAAACAAAAAATATAAAATTGAAATCAGAATATAATTCTAAATGAATACAGTAATATTCATGAAATTAACAGATTAAAATTTACTATAAGTGCAATACCATCTATTAATTCACTTATCTACAGTCTCAAACTCTCGTTCATTAACATATTAGTCAAATTATAACTTGTTAAATCAAACATCAAGTAGTAGTGTTTATCTTAACCAATTCCATTGTGAATGTTTTATATTTTGTATAAAAAGAAGAAAAATTTTTTTTAATATATAAAAGATTTTAGAGTTAAAGCACTCAATCTTTACCAACTTTGAGGACAAAACACTACAGCTAATGCAGTGGTGTATATTTATTACATGATATTATACATTATACTTACATGATGTTATATCTGTAATGAGATTATATTATTTAGGTTTTCACTTAAAAAAATGAAAATTTTTTTAGAGAATATCCATAATCAATTAAATATAAGTCAGAGATATATTTCAGAACAAAGTTACATGTTCTGCAGAAAAAAAATGGATGAAAATTTTCAACTTTGCTAAGAAAATTCTGATGGATAACTTGAAAGTTTTGTAAAATTTGTGACCAATAAAAAGAGAAAGATCCAAAATGCTCTACATTTATATTTTATGGCAAAGAAAAGATTTAACTAATCAAAGTTTCTATGTTTTGATTTAAAATTGTAGTCCTTTTTGAAAATTTAAAAAAGAAACATCATCTATTCAGGTANTCTTTACCAACTTTGAGGACAAAACACTACAGCTAATGCAGTGGTGTATATTTATTACATGATATTATACATTATACTTACATGATGTTATATCTGTAATGAGATTATATTATTTAGGTTTTCACTTAAAAAAATGAAAAATTTTTTAGAGAATATCCGTAATCAATTAAATATAAGTCAGAGATATATTTCAGAACAAAGTTACATGTTCTGCAGAAAAAAAATGGATGAAAATTTTCAACTTTGCTAAGAAAATTCTGATGGATAACTTGAAAGTTTTGTAAAATTTGTGACCAATAAAAAGAGAAAGATCCAAAATGCTCTACATTTATATTTTATGGCAAAGAAAAGATTTAACTAATCAAAGTTTCTATGTTTTGATTTAAAATTGTAGTCCTTTTTGAAAATTTAAAAAAGAAACATCATCTATTCAGGTAATAGTTAAATATCATATAATTTTAACTTCAACTTAATTGTCATAATTTAGATACTATAGAGCTGGGCAATAAGTGTGTGCAGTTTTAGATGATAGATGATGGTAAGCATTATGAAAAGCAACAAACTTCTGTTTAAATTTTGAAAGCATGTAACAGTTTGAAATTGACATTTCAACATTACTTTTTTTAAAAAAAGCATTAAGATTGGTTGTGTTTTGTGTGTTTGATGTCAGTTGAAAGATGGATAAGCATTTTTGGTATATTATGCTTTTTTATTTTAAAAAAGGAAAAAAACATGGTGCAATTCTATGAGCAGTAAACTAGAACTTTTCTATAATAAGTTTCAGACACCTTTCTCTGTTTTCTAGCAATTTCTTTAATTAATTAAATAAAAGAATTAATAGTTTCAGCTATTTTAAACGGCCTTCTTCAGGTTAAGCTTAATAAGACGTTCCAATTAATTAAGCTTAACCTGAAGGCGGCCATTTAAAATAGCTGAAAATGTTAGTTCTTTAATTAAATTAAATTGCTAGAAAATGAGAGAAAGGGATCTGAAACTTATTATGAACATGTACAAATCTGTAAAAAGATGTATGTTGTGAGGCTGTCTTGAAAGAACATATATGCCAAAAGTGTTTGAGATTTCATTCTGGAAATTTTTCTATCCAAGACACACCATGCTTGTGCCATCCATGAGTTCATTTTGTTGGTATCATTATCAACACCAATTCTCCAAGGCACATGGGCGTAGCCAGAGTTTTGTTGTGGGGAGCCTAGTAGAGGCCAACCTAACACAAAATTGAATTATTTCAAATTATTCATAACATTGGGCACAGTGGACCTTTTTTTTTTTTATTAGTATTCAAAATTTTTAGCTTTAAGTTTTTTGTTGTTTCCAAATCGGCTTAACACTTTTTCGGCTGTGATTTTCTGGGGGGCACCAGGTTCACTGGGGAGGGCCGTGCCCATCCAGGCTCCCCCCTCGCTATGCCCATGCCAAGGCATTCTCCAAATATCAAAATTGAGTGTGGAAAACCACCTGCATAAACTTAGCTATGTTTAGCAAGCTAAATGTTTGGGTTCTGCACAAATTGACTGAGAAATCTAGAATGCATTTCCATCAGTGATTCACTATGAAAATGTGAGAAAGCAATTCATTTCTGAAGCAGATGATAACAGATGAAAAATAGATCATGTACAACAATGTTGAGTGCAAACTATTATAGGAGCTGCATCACAAACCACTTCAAAGGCTTCATCCAAACAAGATCATGCTCTTAATTTAGTGGGACTGGAAGGGTGTCGTGTCCTATGAGCTACTTCCAAAGAACAAAACAACCAGAGCAATAAATTTGGCATATAACTGATCCTTATGATAAACTGAGCTCAGTTATATATCCTATGTGGTAGTGTCCAACAACTGTGGATATGAATGTACTACCAAGCAGAGCATACCAACCAATACAAGCAAATGTGCATGTCCTAAGTAACTGCATTTAGTATGCAGCAACGGTACTTATGGGTTAAGAGGATGCCAGTTCAATGGGGATGCACGTTTTAACCTAACCTAACCTATTCTAATAAATTATCATAATTATTACCAATCAAATTATTAGAATAGGTTAGGTTAGGTTAGAACATGCGTCCCCACTGTTTCCTTTTGTTTGCTGGAATCAGAGGTGAGCCGCCCTGTTTAGAAAATCTTTCTCTTTACATAACACAAACGTCTTCTCTTTATCCGAGATTAGAAGCCGTAGATTGTTTGCTTCTAAGTAGCGTTTTATATTATGGCTGTTGACATAATTTCCTCTGGTGTACATGAATTGCGGTTGTGATGTAAGTGCTGAAACAACAGAAAGTTCCATATTTGGGAACTTGGTTGAGGCTTGACAATTCTTCAACGCCGCTAGGGCCGCCGGGATCATGTCCGATGTGCTTGGACCACTTGGTGGAGGAATAAACTTGGGTCCTCTTTGTATAGTTTTGAGGATCTGGATTGGCACTTGCTCACCTGTATAATTGTAGAATGGGGTTGAGTTTGGACGTTTGCGTTGTCTTCCTGATGAACTTAGAAGCCAAGTTAACTTCCTGTTGGATTTGCTGATCTCCTTCTCGGCAAAGGAAGTTGCAATACTTTGCAATTTTCTCAATTGGAGATATAGACTTTCAATTGGAGATATTGGGGCTACCGACTTTCTCAACCATTCCTGTGCAGTACTCTTACAAGAGGTGAGCCGCCATGACAGTATACTATCTGGACTTTAACCGGCAAATAGGCGATATCTATCATCCTAATTAATTTTTTTTTCATTTTTACAACCTTATCAGTACATTTTCTTCTTTTTAGATTTAAATTTACTAGTCTATTGTTATTTTGATATTTTCATTCAAAATCGCGACTTTGGTCGCTATTTCCGACTGGTGTCCTCTTAACCCATAAGCGCAGCAACCACCAGATGATACTTCTACATGAACATACAGGAAGCAGCTACAAAGCAAGTTTGATCGCTGCTTCCACTGCTCATGCTTTCAAAAAATACAAATGGTGAAATTCACTGAATTGACAACATTTATTACAAATATTGTGTGTCTTTTGCCTGTAAAAACAATATAAAAAAACTGTTTTCCATGGTAAGCATTTGATGAAGCAATGGNGAGAAAGGGATCTGAAACTTATTATGAACATGTACAAATCTGTAAAAAGATGTATGTTGTGAGGCTGTCTTGAAAGAACATATATGCCAAAAGTGTTTGAGATTTCATTCTGGAAATTTTTCTATCCAAGACACACCATGCTTGTGCCATCCATGAGTTCATTTTGTTGGTATCATTATCAACACCAATTCTCCAAGGCACATGGGCGTAGCCAGAGTTTTGTTGTGGGGAGCCTAGTAGAGGCCAACCTAACACAAAATTGAATTATTTCAAATTATTCATAACATTGGGCACAGTGGACCTTTTTTTTTTTTATTAGTATTCAAAATTTTTAGCTTTAAGTTTTTTGTTGTTTCCAAATCGGCTTAACACTTTTTCGGCTGTGATTTTCTGGGGGGCACCAGGTTCACTGGGGAGGGCCGTGCCCATCCAGGCTCCCCCCTCGCTATGCCCATGCCAAGGCATTCTCCAAATATCAAAATTGAGTGTGGAAAACCACCTGCATAAACTTAGCTATGTTTAGCAAGCTAAATGTTTGGGTTCTGCACAAATTGACTGAGAAATCTAGAATGCATTTCCATCAGTGATTCACTATGAAAATGTGAGAAAGCAATTCATTTCTGAAGCAGATGATAACAGATGAAAAATAGATCATGTACAACAATGTTGAGTGCAAACTATTATAGGAGCTGCATCACAAACCACTTCAAAGGCTTCATCCAAACAAGATCATGCTCTTAATTTAGTGGGACTGGAAGGGTGTCGTGTCCTATGAGCTACTTCCAAAGAACAAAACAACCAGAGCAATAAATTTGGCATATAACTGATCCTTATGATAAACTGAGCTCAGTTATATATCCTATGTGGTAGTGTCCAACAACTGTGGATATGAATGTACTACCAAGCAGAGCATACCAACCAATACAAGCAAATGTGCATGTCCTAAGTAACTGCATTTAGTATGCAGCAACGGTACTTATGGGTTAAGAGGATGCCAGTTCAATGGGGATGCACGTTTTAACCTAACCTAACCTATTCTAATAAATTATCATAATTATTACCAATCAAATTATTAGAATAGGTTAGGTTAGGTTAGAACATGCGTCCCCACTGTTTCCTTTTGTTTGCTGGAATCAGAGGTGAGCCGCCCTGTTTAGAAAATCTTTCTCTTTACATA